GTAAGTACCACAAGGCGCGCAATGTGTGGCGGAGAGAGCAATTATAAAGGGAAATCGACGGCTCCGATGGAAGATTCCGTAATCCGCAGGCAGCGACGGAAGGAAGAAACGCGTGTAAAGGAAAGCCGGCAGCTGCGATGATTGAAGAAACGTCACCTGTGTTTTGGTTGATCGTCGCGTACGCACACACAATCGATTGGCATGCGCGTGTAATTCGCTCCGACTTGCAGATGCGTCGAACCGATTAGACATCGGCAACTGTAGGCCGCGATGTAACGGACGACTTCAGCCTCGACCGGATCGCGAACAGAACAACTTTTTCCATTTCTTCGGAATGCGACGATCCATCATCGGCGCGCGCGAGACACGAAACGGAAACTGATTGTGAGCGCGAGGAAGCTCCTCGCTGTTAATGATCGGAGCAGCGTCGTAAACGGCGCGAGCGGAGCGGCCGCCGCTGCAAGAGAAGAGTATTGGAGCGGCTGAAATAAACTGGCGTAGGTTAGGGGATCGAGAAACAGCTGGGCTCGGCCTGGGCTGCTGCACGCCATGACTCACTGACTCACACTCGATCTATCCCCTCCCCTTTCTCGCCGGTTTATCCACTCTCTCGCTCCTGTTTCCGTCTCTTCATCGCTTTGGTAATCGCTTCTCTCTCTCTCTCTCTCTCTCTCTCTCTCTCTCTGATCTATCTTTTTCTTCTTTAATTAGGAAGATGCTTGTCTCCGACTACTCGCCGTCGCAGTCTTTCATTCGTTGGGGGAATACATTTTTCGAGTCTTGACGTTTCCAGATTGGTTCAGATTAAATGACAAATTGTTTATTAACAATAACTCAGAGAAATAACTCGAGACGTTCCGCTTACGATATATGTATACGTCTGGACGCGAATCTGTAGATTTATGTGTCTTATTATGCTTCTCCCGTCTGGGGGGAGTATCCTCCGTGACTCAAGCTTTGCCGCGATTTAATGAGAAATTATATTTGCGATATCTTAGAATGACACACTCGAGATGCGCCTTATATCGCCTTATTTCGTACAAAAGATCGCTTTTCTGTAAATTCTTTCCAATTAATTATTTACGTTTAAACGAATAATTCATGTATTATCTCACAAATAAAATTACAATGTTAAATAAAATATAAATAGATCTTGCTGCCTCTCATTATATTGAAATAATAAAGAGTAACAAATCTAAAAATTCTTCCTTCGTTTCCTAACTACAAAATAATTGTATTGGCACTGAAATATCGATTAATTTAATCAATAGCCTCGCAAGTATTTTTATACAATATCCCAAGTATCTCGATAATGTCGAGAAACTATAATTATCCGATTAACCACGCCTTTGCATAGATATTTTACTCAGTTCTACAACGAATTAGCGTATTCTTTGTACGAGATTATCAACGAGCTTTCTTTCAGTTTCTACTTTTATCGCTCGTCTTGAGCGTTGTGAATGCACGTCTTGGCAGCCAGTCTAAATACTGAATACTGCGAAAACTGAAATCGTCGAAGTGACACTTAATTTTGAGACTCGATGTCTCTGGATTGATTGTATCGATTTTATTCGGATTAGTCGTAATATAAAGCTCGTATCAAAATTACATAATGAAAGTGCTATTAGCTTTTTCATTATAAACCTTCGTTTCCAAGATATTTAAATCGGAAATCTGACAAAGCGAAAATTCAAAATAAAGTTATGCTGGTAGCGTTCTGATAATGCCAGTGCCGTACTCACAGGATATTCACCCGACCTTCATCCGATCTTTTTTATATACCTACTTGGCGTCGCGACACTATCGCGTCGCGTGATATCTAATCGGCGGAATCCTTCTTTTCACTATATTTTTTGCCGTCCTATATCTCTCACGATCATTGAGGGAATCTCTCGTTTATCTAATCAGGAAACCGTAGTAGCATTCTGCTTCTTCTCTTGAATCACGCATTTCATTAATCGAATGGACTTTATTGTTATTAGGTAGATAACATTCTTATCCTCTTGATGAGGAAGCTTCTAGTTGATGTAAAAAAAAAAAGAAAGAACCTCTTCTTCTAAAAAGTGACTCCGCAGCCGAAATTATAATTAATGGAGTTCGTGGTACAAGATTAATATATGTATATTGTGTTTTCGCAATTCGATATATGCATATAAGCTGATGAAAACCGTTAATAAACTGCTACATTAGTTGCTCGATTGCAAAAAGCTGCTGCACAATATTGCAGTACATACGATAAATGACACGTACTTAATTGTTATTTATACCGCGATACCGTAATACTCGATATTTCTGCGATCATTTTGTTCTTCTTGATATAAATCGCCTCGCAAAATATCTGCATTTTTCCCATTCCCAGGGTCATGTTTATAAAATTTGCACCAGGAGTTAGCTTGTGATTTTCGAGTATCTCAATATATAAGTCCTCTCCCCTTTTTCTCTAATGAATAAATAGTTTACATTTTTAGTATCGATTAAAATCATTAAACTACTAAAATACATTTAGGACTAAGAATAAATAATTAAAAAATAAAACATTTTTTAAATAACAGTCTTTATCTATTGTTACAATTTATAAATTTTACAAAATTATTAAATTTTTTTTAAGCTGCTTTTTTGACGCCCCTGGTTTCAGCGCCTTAGGACTATAGCCTTAAAAGCCTAAACCTAAACGCACTACTGCCCGTTTTTCATTCGATCGCTATCGCGTGTACGCAATGTTATTTGTACTGTGCAAACGATTATTGCGTAGATTATCTTCAGTGTTTCATATCACGTTTAATCGTTTTTGGCGGTTTTTGGCAAAATCGGCGAAATAAAAATCGACGAATCTCGCAAAAACTCTCTCAAATGCGTAAATTTATATGTATTTACGTAAGTAAATATTATTTATATGTATTTACAGATTTTTGTGTGCGCAGCGGGGAACGGCGCGCGCGATCTGTCGTGCCCCACGATGTGGATATATTTTAGTCATTTCGTGGGAACGGAAAGGACTTTGATCAATAACACACAGCGAGATGATGGTGGTGGCAACCCCACCGATAATCCTCCCTCCCCCCGCTCTCACTCCTTTCATATAGACGTGGCGCATGCTCGCGAATTAAATTCCGCCCCTCTTGATAATTTCATCGTGCTCCGTTTTCTCTCGCAAGAAAGGGGGTGAGAGGGAGAAAAAAGGAAAATGCGCCGCGCGCAAAACCACGTGTGCACATATAATTAGAACCATGGGTTACATATAATCTCGCGACCTTGAACGTGCGAGTCTGGATTTTTGAAACGAATATTGAACACAACGTAGAGTGAAAGTGCACGACGGACATTTATCGGATAAAAAAAATGGACCCGGGTACTCGCATAGCGTTGCTTTTGCTTCAGAAAAATTAGAAAGTAAAACTGCATAAATACGAGATTTTTTTCAATGAGAATATTTTATAAAACTATATGTAAAAAACATTGTATTATTTGTAATTGATTCTTATCGTTGAAGCGGTAGGCGAATCATACATCTATAATAAAATTATATTTTTAAAATTGTATGTTTATTGTACACCACAAAGTTTGCGACGTTTTAAAGAGTAGGTACTTATTAACGTGGGTATCTGTTTCGTGTAATACCTACATATATTGTGTTAGAGTTACAAGACGGAATTTAGTAACTGGCGATTGCGTTGCAGGCCAGGACCGAGATAAATTAATACGGATGCTACGTATTACCTTGTTCGCCACTTTAGCGTATTATAGTCATTAATGTTAGCGCTTTACGATGCAAGCACCACGGTGTGTTTAATGTAAATGCATTATTATACACTTTATTGAAACAAATAATTTACGGAGAAAATGTGAGAAGTAGAAAGAATTGATACAAGTAAAAGATTGGATCACTTAAGTGTAATAAAAATTAATTGCATCAGAGATGTTTTATAACATCATACGGGAGTATTTTTTACACACGAAAAAATCGATATATTCGTGAAAGTAGAGATGAAATCTGATACAGAAGTGCTAGATTTCCATTACCCGTAAGATTAAGTTATTTGTGTTTTTTTAAATGTAATTTGAAGTTTAGGAGATTATTTCAACCACAATGCGAGATGAATTTTTGCGATTGTCTGAAAATCGTGTATTACATAAATTGGTGGCAAAATCCAAAAATTAAAGTGATTGTTGCAGAGCAAAATGATGAAAAAATGTATTTTTGGCCAATAAAAAATTATTTTAACTTTTTTTTGGCCTTTTAGATTTTCTTTAATATTTTATTTAAATATTGGTAAAAAAGATGTAATAATTATTCAAAAAAGGCCGAACAAAAGGAAAAGTACGAGCAATTTTCGACGATACATTTTAAAAATGTATTTTTTCACTATTTTGCTCTGCTTCAACTGTTTTGATCATTTTTGAATTCAATAAACAATTTTACATAAAAATACATCATTTTCAGACAATTGCAAAATTTCATCTTGCATCGTGGCCGAAATGACCTCCTAAATATTTCAAATATGTATAAAAAATGTAAATAATGCGATTTCATGAAACGGAAATTCTATGCTAAATTTTGTCTCCACTTTTATGGATATATCGATTTTTTTATATGTAAAAAAATTGTTTTTATTACACACTAATGATAAATAAAGTAATATATAAAGTATAATAGTGTATATGTAAAGTATAATATAATGTAATATAAAGTATAGTGGTATAATGACAAAATAAAATAATAAAACGCACATAAAAGATGGTGTCAATTTTCAATTTAATAATTGACACGTTTTTAATTTTGCTGCAAAAATATTTGTCAACACAAAATTAAAGTGATCAATTAAGGCGTGAGCAATTGGCATGCGACACGATGAGCAAAAGAAAAGTGAAGGTAAAAGAATAAATCAATCGCATACGCGACCAGAATTTTCAGCCAAGTGGGGGCCAATATATTAAACGTCACCTGCCGAGTCGATCTGTGTGCGTGGATTCGTGCGTCGGCCAGGTGCAATATCGCTTACCTGCAATATTATCGGGTGACGGTCGCGACTTTGCCAAAGCAGAAGTCGGCTGGTAAGATCGCCCGCACGACTGTTCTCGGTGGATTCTAAGTCGCGACAATATCGTGGCCAAAATCTCAGATTGCTGCAACAATGTGATCAAAGCATTAGTCATCGCATTTTGCGCTATTCGTGAAATAAGCCTATTAATTAATAGAATGATGAACGAAGAGGGTGTACACGTGGATAATATCCAAATCGATTCTATAATCGATAATCGGTTATGTGACGGGCTGATAATCCAAAGTGATATACAGGGTATCCAGTAAATCGCCTGCAATACTTCGGGAGGTGTTTCAGGAGACAAAAAGAAGGAAAAAAGGTTATATAAATATAGATCCGGAAATAAGTCGTTTCTGAGTTATAACCACTTTTATGTTAAAAAATTTGTAATTTATTTTTCATAATCATAATTATACTAACAATCATAATTTATAATAATGAATGATCATAATTAGTTATAATCATTCTTTTTTTCAGGATTCACTACGCGGAGACATAGTCCGCTTGGCATCCCTGTTTTTTATTTTTTTTAATTTTTAATTTTAATTTTTTTTTCAATTTCTCTATATTTATAAATACGATTATATTATTTTTAGAATAAAGGATAAACATAAACAGATATTTAAATCAAATAAAATAAAATGAATGTTCAAAATACCCATTAATACGAAAGCAAGCCCTTATTCTTCTATCAAAAGAATTACGAACTCTGAAAAACATTTGGATCCTTTTAAACTATTACAATTAATATTCGATCAACCAAACTCGATTTAAATATCTGTTTATGTATATCCTTCATTCTAAAAATAATGTAATCGTGTTTACAAATATCGAGAAATTAAAAAAAAACAGTGATGCCAAGTGGACTATGCCTCCGCGTAGTAAATCCTAGGTACAAAAATAAATTATTATAACTAATTATAATTATTATAATAAATTATTATAAAAAATAAATTACATTTTTTCAACATGAAGTTTATTATAATAAATTATTATAAAAAATAAATTACATTTTTTCAACATAAAGTTATAACTCGAAAACGACTTATTTCCGGACCTATGTTTATATAACTTTTTATTTATTTATTTATTTTTGGTTCCCGAATCATCTCCCGAAATATTGCAGGCGATTTACTGGACACCCTATATAAGTATCTCCAAGATGGATTGGAAGATAAGATCAATTGTAAGTAGAGGACTGTTGTACAAAAAAAGGAGAAAATCTTTTGTATTATTATATATAAAACATAGATAAATATTATGTAAGTTTGTTATAAAACTATAAATTATTAAAAATGTATAACGACAAAACGGGCAAATGAGAATCAAGCGCAGTTAGTGAGGCGCAAAGTTATCTCTTTTTAATAACAATGAGAACTAAGTACCTGCAAAGTTTACAGTTTCAACTCATCTTCAAGTCATCATCAGTGTATCTTCAATTATTAAATCTCCCGCTTGGAGACCGTGAAGTATTTTAATAATTGAAGATACATTGATGATGACTTGAAGATGAGTTGAAATGTCTGTAAACTTTGTACTTCTCATTATTATTAATAAGAAATAATTTTGCGCCTCACTAACTGCGTTTGATTCTCATTTGCAAGTTGTGTCGTTACATTTTGAATATCGAGAGTTCTCTCTAAATTTTGTGATTATAAATTGTTATAAATAATTATATTTGTTATAAAATTATATTTTCCAAAAGTATAGAAAGCTCCCTCATCACATCCCTTGTATCTCCTTGCTCCCTAATACAGTCTGTCACAAAACAATGATGCATGCAAAAGTACAAGACTGTTTCATTCGCAAAGTATATACAAGCCGGCGACAGCTCGCACAATTCCGTGCGTTCGCGTAAAGATAAAAGGGAATGATGTCACGTGCACTTACACGTTGCGCAAATGGAATTCCTCTTACGCGCGAATCTTTCCCCGCAGCTTCCGTCCAACGCGATAGCACTTTTTTCTCTTTTCGAGTCGCGGAACCTCTTTGAAAGAATGAACGAAAGCTATGGTATTTTTGTCAAAAATGCAAAGAGATACATAGGTATGGATTTTGCATACATTTTATTTCGACGTGTTAGAAATGTTTTCCTACAGTCCTGCACAGTTCTTTCTTCTTTTACCATTTACGTACAAAATTTATGCTACCTGTCTTTTACAAAAGCTATGGTATTTTCATCAAAACACAAATGCAAAGAGATACATATAGATTTTACATACATTTTTTATTTTATTTCGACGTGTTAGAAACATTTTCCTATGCACAGTGTCAATGGCGGATCCAGAGAATTATTCTTGGGGGGGGGGGGGGAGGAGGGGACGGTATGACAAAATATGCATATTTAGTTATTATTGTTTTTGATATTATTTGTAACGATATTAATTGATTGAAATTGTTTTATCGAATGCATAAGTTAAAAAATATAAACGTAATCAAATTTGTAATAAATTGAGTGAACATTATTTAGTCTCGAATAATTTCTGATAATTTTTTTTGTCAATTTATTTAAAATCGACTTTTTCTAATATACGAAATTTGTTTGGAGAGCTCTGGACGGGGGAAGGGGTAGGGGCGATCGCCCCCTCCGCCCTTCTCCTTATTGTATCCGCCACTGCACAGTGTTCTTTCTTCTTTTACCGTTTAGGTACAAAATTTAGGCTACGTGTCTCTTACAAAAAAAAATTCTTTTAGATTTAAAGCAGAACTTACTTGCATTCAGCAAGGGGATCCTGTCCTGTCTCGGTTTCCTGCAGCGTTTTATCGCAATGCCGTATCACGTTATCCGCCAGAAGTTTCTCTGCAACACGAGATCATATCATGAAGATAATACGTACGAGACAAAGTTTATTCTTGCGTAAGTTCAATCTGACAGTCACTCTCTGTACACAAAAAAAAACAAATATTTAATTATTTAAAAATCGTCTTTTCTTTCAGGGCGACGTTTGTGCTTAGATTATTGTTGCCCTCTTTTTGAGATAAAGATAATATGGAAGCTGAAAAGAAGACGATTAGGAATCTCCGTTAGGCTTCCGCGTCGTTGTTTATCTTTCTGTTTGACTTTCTCAAAAATAGCCATATGCTCGCGAGAAAAGTAAACCATGAAAAAACGAAATACAAAGCGCAGCCTTTCGTGTAGTAAGAAGAAATATGATGAAACACAAAAAATGGGCCGTCGCTTTTTTACTTCTCCTTATATCTTGTAAATTAAAATTTTGCACATATATTTTTATGATAACGGAATAGTAAATATTTATTGCATATAATTAAATATATATTACGTATAACCACAAAAATATCGAGAAATATGAAGATATACATAGTATTTCGGAATAAAAAGAAATAAAATCATAAAAATATCAAAAAGTCTTTATATGTTACTGCAAAAATAATTAAAATGTTTAAAAAGTTTCGTTTTTTTTCTAGACAAATTGCTTCTAAGTAGTTCTAGTTTTTAGGTAACATACGCGTTTTGAAAGTAAAATTAAAATTCAATTATGATAATAATAAAAATAATAAAGTACGTAAAATAATATAAAATATGTAAAAAATATTATACTCTATTTACACAAATATAAGTAAATATAATATATGTATATCATACTGAGAGAAGTGTTTAATATTTGTGATTATAATTGCATAGTAAAATAATTATGTTAAAAGCTCCATTTTTATAGTTATTGTTATAATAGTTATAATTATATTCATATTTCCATAAAAACCAAATATATAATTGACATCGAAAATGATTATACATTATAGTTAAATTATGATAATTGCAAATACTCTTCTCTCAGTGCAAACAAAAGATTTCTTTCAGACATAGATAATTATTTTGTTAATTTTTTTAAACTAACAAAAAGTATATAAGATTAATCGACCAAGGAATGAGCAAAGGTAATAAAATTTGGTAATACCTTTGCTCGTTTCTTGGCCGATTGGTCTTATACTTTTTGTTATTCAAACACGAGCTTGACATTGCAATTAATTTTTAAACTTATAATATTCACATTTATCCCTGCCTCATTAGGCATGAAGATACCGAAGAGTCCGTATGCAAAAGTCAATGGAATGTTTATATTGCATTATACTATAAATTAGTGTAAAAAATAGGGTTAATGTGCAATACATTTATACGCAACTGATACGTAACAAACTGAATGAAAAGAAACTAAATGAAATTGTTATTAATCATTGCAAAAAAAATCTAAAGATGATAAGTATGAACGAAAAAAAGGTTCGGTGAAAAGAACTTTGATTCAAAATGTCATTAAGGAAGATATTGTATATCGTAAATAAATTATCCCTATGAATGACACTTACTCAGGAAATTCATCGTGTGTTTTCTTGAGAGCGTTTCTCGAGAACTAACGCAGGCAATAATATAAAAACAATAAAAAAAATGTTCTTCCTGTTTCAAGATTCTTGAAATAATATTCGCGTAACCTCATCGACCGTCTTGATCGCGAGATTTTGCGATGCAAGAAACAAAACCGACGCCGCGACGTTTCGTTTCGTAACTTCGTGTAGGACTTCCTGCTTGAAAATAAACTCGAATGCACCCACGCAAGTTTCTCAAAGATCTATCGCGCACCGAATTTATTTTGAATTTTGATAGATCGCCGTTATTTCGCAACTGTTTCTCGTGCCTTGCGTGCGAGTGTTTAAAGTCTGCAAAAGTTTAGAATGTTGCACAACGAGCTAAAGTTTGTCGTGTAAAACGCGATATACGCCGTTTGTCAAAGACCAAAACTCGAAAAGAAAACCTCGCAAACTGTGAATACGAAGCTACTATCACCGCGTATTATGGTATTTATAATGTAAATATTAATGTTAACATTAATTAATGAACCTTTCTGTAATCCTAATTGTTGTATAAAAATAATTATGAGATATATCACTATTTAAAAATTTAAATTAAATTAGAAATTTATTCTTCATTAATCTTATCTGTAAAACATTATTATTAATTATATTTGTATACAAGAGTTTTTATAGTTACGTTATTATTTCTCTTTTATTTTTAATTACACACTCGCGCGTACGTAATCCTTTTTGCTCTCACGTTACAACATCGCTCAGGAATGGTTGCACTCGAATATTGTCGAATGCGATGAGAGATATCTACATGGAGTTTTGTTGACTGCATTGATTTTTGCCGCTGCAAAATGCAAAAGAGATGACGACTAATAAATACCCTAGGAAAATTATAATTTTTTTGTACGTCTGGGTGGTAAAATTGTATATATAAAGATTTTTTGCAGGAAGTTGTTCGAAATGGCATATTATATGTATAACAGTAACACATTAAAAGCCCTGACCGTCCACGTGCTTGCGTAACTTTTTATCTTCAAAAAATTGGCCAAAAATACCGTTTTTTCAAAATATCTCTGAAAGTATTGATTTTATCGAAGTGAAGGTCATTATCAAAAAGAAACCTGAAAATTACAAACAATTTGATTTTTCTGTTGAAGATCGTACAATCAATACTTTTCAAGATAGAATTTTTTAAAAAGTGTTATATTTTTGATCATTTTAAAAATAAACAGATTTTTCGCACTTTTTTTCATAAATATCTCGGATTTAGCTATACTTCTACGTAGAAAAAAATCTCTTATGAAAATAAAAGATTATTAAATTCCCTACAAAATCGTTTTTTATTCATCCTCGTACGACCAATAGTTTTCGAGATACGATTTTTAAAATGTTTTCTTTCATTTTAGAACGCTTATTTCTTAACGTTTTTCGTAAATATCTCGGATTTGGCTACTTCTACGTAGAAGGTACCTATTATCAAATCAAAAGGTTTTTAAATTTCCTGCAAAATTGCTTTTTTATTGAACCTCGTTCGATAAATAGTCGCCGAGATATAAATAAATTTCATCACATTGTAATAAATTTTAATGTAATAACTTGCTTGTGACTTATATGTGAAAAATATACACTAACAATCTTAAAGCTTATGATTAAGTTACGTATGAAAATCAAGAAAGGCATATATCGCACATTCTGAAAATTAATACTTTCAGAAATATTTTTGAAAAACGGCATATTTGGTCAGTTTTTTGAAGATAAAAAGTTACGCAAGCACGCGGGCGATCAGGACTTTTAATGTATTATGTTATATATATATGCCATTTCGAACAACTTCCTGCAAAAAATCTTTGTATACAATTTTGCCGTCCAGACGTACAAAAAAATCGTAATTTTCCTGGGCTATAACGACATCGCGATGCAAAACAATGCACTCGAGATTCGCTCGAGGCGGATGAAACGGAATTGGCAAGTGACAGTTCGAACAGCCCTATGGAAAGAGACTCGATGAACTTACGTTCCGAAGTGTCAAGGCACTTTTACTTTTGTTTCCCGACAAGGCTCCTCTCTGCGCGACTTGTATTTCCCTTCGGTTCCGCCTCGTCGCGAAATGCCTTTGGTATCTAGATGGCATCGGTCCAACCGTTGCCTATCTCACGAATCTACAGACGCCACTTGCCAGACGTATTTGCGCCAGAATCGTCCGTGAAAGTTTAAATCGGATCTTACCGGCGGATCCGTTCCTACAAACATCGATAATAGAGTTCGAAAAACGAGAACGAGCGTGAATATCAGAGATCTCTTTCAAAAAATAAACTCGTCTGCTCAATAAATATTTGTGAAATTTTTAAAACGCGTTTGGTGGCGTATTATATTACGTGATCATTTAAACGGCTCTATAAATTTTCTATGCATGTACAAGCGCATCGATAATTTCGCAGATTGTTTTTCATTAGCCTGTAATTATTCAAATAATATTTTACGCGACGCAAATAAAATATAAATAATGCAATTCGTATTATCGCCTACATTTATGTTTTTGCTGAACTTCTCTTATTTGTATCCTTACAGTTAAGATTATTAGCGTGGACACGAAGTTCAACGATCAATGCACGAGAATGTTGTTATGTCTTATTGACAGGGTTGGGTAAGTTAATAAGTAATAATAAGTTAATAAGTTTTTTAAATTAAGTTAAAGTTAACAGTCTCAAAAATTTAATTTAGTAAAGATATTAGTTAGTCCATAATAAAATTAATTGAATTAAAAGTTAAATTAATAAAAAAAAGTAATTGAAAAGTTAAAAGTTAAATTTTTATTACAGGATTTAATAGATGCTATACAAGCATCGATTTACTAGATTGCCTCTGGCAATTTAATTGTGATATTATGTTAATGCTCGGTTTAAAGCTGTATAGAAGCACGCGATTTGCAACCGTGCAGTGTACTCGAACCGAATAATTGTAAGATTCACATTTTATAATACTATAAAGCACCAAGATTCGCTTTGACCGCGCTGGTGTTTGTCATTCTTAATTGTTTGTAATATTCCGGTCTTTCTTGATACTTAATTAAAATTTTTTATTTAATAATTTTAGGGTTTCTAAATAAAATTTCTAAAGTGTATATTTGTTATACTTATTTCTGTCAAGCCGCAGAAAGAGGACCGATTTCGAAGGACTTCTTCCAACATGATTTAATCTTAATGCATATAGAAGGCTCCGCGAACAGACTATATTTATTATGTTATACCTTCCTTCCCGCGGCCAGACTATATTTATTAAGTTATACCTATCAATTGCCTTGATGTGCATTCTCAAATTTAAGTTTGAAGACGTAGATGTGTATTTTATTTTTTTACAAGAAGCACTAAAAATGTAACTTTAAGAAAGTTAAATTAAAAGTTAATAGTTGCCGATAAAATGTAACTAAATTAAGTTGAAAGTTAAGAGTCTAAAATGCAACTAAGTTAAGTTAAAATTATTTAACTTTTTAACTTTTTAACTTAACTTTTATCTTTTTAGACACTACCCAATCCTGCATATTGATATATAGCTACCTCAAGACCGGACCAAGAAGTTTAATTCCGGTCGAGATCAAAATGCATCATAACCGAACTGAATTGCTTATTTAGGTATGACTAATCGATAAAACCTTCATATTTTATTTATTTTTCTATTGCTTAATGCAATTATGATTATCGAGGATGAAACACTGTCTTACCTTTCTCGTACTTCTTCCGTACGTAGGAGAAGTTGTGATTCACGTCTGGCGAGTTCGCGTTGTCGAGGAGATCGGAAGACAATTGACGTTGCAGGAGAATCGTTTCGTGAGTAAGCTCACGAACCTGTATGAGAAGCTCCTCGTAGCTCGAGACCGGGAGCGTCATCGCTGTGCTTTCCGTGCTTCACCGCGCCTCTGCGCATGAATCTTGTCTGTACAGCCATTCGACTTTAATTCTGCAATTCAAAGTGAAATATTTACGTGGCGGGTAGGATAGGATACAAGATTGATTAGATCGGCAGCGCTGTCTCGCGTTAGCATTCGTTAGAAAACAAGAGAAATATATATTTCAATATATCGTAATACGACAGAGAAATATAATTAATTGATGTTAATTTCTTTCATAAAACCTTTAACAATTTGTGAATAGTTTGCTTAAAAGTTAATAAGTTAAATTAAACCGTTATGCGAATAAATCAAATAATTGAAGAAGAATCAAATATGATGAAGGCTACGATCTAGATAGGAATCTTCTAATAATATTTATACTTATATTTTTTAAATGTATCTTTTAATTTTTGTATTTCAAGATCCATAATAATTGGCACACAGTTTATATAAACTGAAAGATGTATTTAAAAAATATACATATAAATATTATTACATATATCTATTAGGGCTGGTGATTTGCTTCGAAGGCTTCGACATTCGAACTTCAAGCTTCGAAGCTTTGGCATTAAATTCGAATTCTTTTGAAGCTTTGAAGTTTCGAAAAATACATTCGTGTAAATCATAAATTTATTCAGAAAATTTACAAATATTGTAAATAAAAAGAATTAATATACATACTCAAAATATACGAAATTATTCCTACAAAATTTGAAAGTACTATAACTTGAAATATTACAAATTGAAATTAAACTTGATACATAGATTTGTAAATAAGGAAAGATAATGATCAATAAAACAATCCAATTAAGAAAATAAAAAAAAAATTTATTCTTAAACTTAGAAAGGTCGAAGCTTCGAATATTCGAAGTAAAAAGTAACAGCCCTATAATATCTATAATGCCTCGTATTTGGTTTTTCTTCAACATTGAAAGAAAAAAATGGTTGCATTTATCATAGTTTAACTATAATGTATAATCATTTTCGATGCCAACTATACATATATATGTTTGACAGAATTATAAATATTTATAATTATTATTACTAATAATTATAATGTTGTAGCAGTAATTAGAAGTAGCAATTGTGGCGCAGAGAGTTGTGCGTCTGTTTTTCGGTGCCAAAGACCAGGGTTCAAATTCGACTAGAAACAATGGATTTTTATTCGATCGCTACCTCTCGGAAGACAGCGGCAATATCCCGCGGAGATCTATCTTACCATAAAAACCCCTCTAAAGGCCGTTCGGAACCGGCGAGAAAACTGTAGGTCCCAGTGCCGAATTTAAAGTGGGGGCCCCTGATTTTTAAACTCAATTTATTTTTAATTAAGTTTTATTTATGCATTATATATGGAAAGAACGATTTTCCTGGTAAGTCTAAAAATTTTGATACAGATCTGAAAATAATTTTGTTGGAAACTCAAAAATGATGAGCATTGCTGTAAAACATTTTGATATTCTGGCAAGCAGTTTGAATTTTTAACAAAATTATTTTGATGACCGAACAAAATTATTTTCAGATCTGCGTTTAACAAAATTTTTAGACCTTACAGCAAAATCGTTCGTTCCGTATGGGAGACCCCAATTTGCGGGGGTTCCTGGGCGGCCGCTCAGTCCGCCTTCCTTCAAATCCGGCACTGGTAGGTCTCGTATATCTGTATAAATTGTAAATAGCGCACACCACGGAATTACGGGGTTCCATGAGTCAAAAGCAGACACTACGCTTCTGACAAGAGGCAAAGGATTCGGAAGAATGGAAGAAGCACTGTAATAACTGTAAAAATGGAGCCTGACTATAATCATTTTTTTCTGCAATTATAATCCCAAATACCAAACACTTTTCTCTCAGTAAATTATTTGATTTGTCAAAGTTAGTTTGATCCTAGATATGGGGGATAAGTGGGAAAAATTGCGTAATTATTACGCTGCGTCGGATAATATGCAGATGTTTTTCAATGCATGAATAAAAGTCGGAGCGGTACGTTTTTAATTTCATATGGTTTTTCAACATATATATAACGTTTGTTACGGCGCACACGAAAATGTTTCATTACATCAGAGAACAGACGCTCTCGCTGTTAGTGCGCTTAAAATTATTTTCACAGATGAAGATTCTCGAGAGGATATTGTTGCGATAAAGAATGAGAATTTCCGAGATGAAGATTTACGAGATGTACGCAACAGCTTTCGTGAAAATTGCACGTGAAACACGCAATGTTAAGCGTGCTTATTTCCCAATAATCGATAACACAATTTGAAGAATTCGAAAATAATAAAATGAATTATTTTATGTACATTTTATACATAGATTATACAGTCACAAAACTAATTATCCAGACAGTGCAGATAATATATAGATGATTTCTTCAAACTGTTCAGGTGTCATTTATATTAGACATTGTATTTATATGTATTTAGACAAGTATAAATTTTGAAATTACCAGTGCTATTATACGTGCGTGGAATCATAATTTTTAACACTCGGAATTTTTTTATTGCCCGAACAATTAGTTTCGTAATCGTGCAACTGTACGCCATTTGCTTGGACACAATTTATATATGTAGATATAAATATGCGTATTATGTGTAATAGAGATATAAATATGAATTGTGCATACATGTGCAGTCGTGGACATATTGGTTGCGGATTTTTTTTTCACAGGTTTTTAGTATATATTTAATATATATAATACATATTTTACAGGTAACTAATACTTATTTTATAAATTCGAACCACGATGGTGTACTATCTTTAATCTAGAGTCAATATACCATCGTGGTTCACATTTGCAAAATATTAATGCGTTTCGAAATCTATTAAAAAAAAAGTGTCGCAACCGATATGTCTACGACTGTATACATAAACATACATACGATACACGATCACGAAACTAATTGTCCGGGTAGAAAAAAAATTCCGAATGTTAAAAGTTATGATTCCACGCACGAATTATGGCACTGGTAATTTCACAATTACTAGTCTAAATACATATAGCTACAACGTCTAAATATTGTTGTACCCCTGTGTCTTCTAATTGTGGCTTAAGTCGAGCGACCGCGCGAAGTATCGCGCGAAACAAAGAGAGAAGAAGACGGTTGCCGGGGGCAACGTTGTTGTGTCGTTCCGCCGCGACTTTTGACGTGAACGTTATAAAATACCGATATTTAAGACGATTTAATTAGCAATAAACGTTTCGTTCTTTTTTTTGAAGAGTTGCTATATTTATTTCCCCCGCGCGCGTCCGGAAGTGCCGATTTCGACTCGCGCGCGAGTTCCGCTCTGCAACGAGCGCAACAACATAAATAACGTTTGGACAACAGTTTAAAGAAATTATCGATATATTAACGCATTGTCCGGATAATTAGTTTCGCGACTGTATGTACTCTACTTATATATATTATATTATTGTATTATATTTCTGATTAATTAGCGTGAAATTTGTGTAGCTTCTTAGAAACTTATCGTTTGAATAAATATGGAATTATTAAGGATTTTTGTAAGCAGCGTATACGACTATAACAACATTATCGAGTCTAGCTATCCAATTCTATCGAAATCGCAATACTGGAAATAAGAATCTAGGCCTTTGAGCGCGACGCGATTTTTCCCCCAAGTGATGCTGCGAATTCATACATATGCAACGTGAAGAGTATTGCGCTCTCTCCGCATCTAAAGCTTTTGTTGGATGCAGTGGGAGGAAACATTGCACTCGTTCTCTCCTGAGGGCACTCATGTCTCTTCCATTTGGTGATATTTGCGCTCACACGATGGTCCGAAAGTGCATATGTGAATATACATATCCACGCGTATCGTCTATCTCGAGAGTGCATGTTATGAGCACAGTATGTTGCAATGAATAGTAGACTCGATCGATTGTGAGAGCAAATGCACGCTTGTGAGTGCGTTACGCGCACATTTATTTCAGAACGCGGAGCAACTTTGTAAAAATCAGGGTTGGGTAAGTTAATATTTTTTTTCACCAAGTTAAGTTAAAGTTAACAGTCTTAAAAATTTAACTTATAGTTAAAATACAAGTTAGTCCATATTAAAATTAATCGAGTTAAAAGTTAAGTTAATAAAAGAAAGTAATTGAAAAGTTAAAGTTAAATTTTTTCATTTTATAATTTTAGGGTTTCTAAATAAATTAAGTATTAGGAAAGACCGTGGAATGTTAACTAACAATTGAGATTTTAAAACGTCAACGACAGTACAAAGCAGATCTTGGTGCTCCCATATAATATTAGTGTAAATTTTACAATTTTCGGTTCATATAACAACACGTGGCCGCAAATTGCTCTGTGAAGTTGGCCCTACTTTTTTAAAATTCGAAAAAAATAATCAAAGTTCCGGTTGCCCCCCGAAGAGTTCTAGAGTTCTCTATATCGATTTTAGAAAGAGTTCCGTTGATTAGCGCTCCGAAGATTCCAAATTTCGAACGCAGTACCTTCGGAGCGCTAGAACTTTTTAGTTTTTGATTTGTCAGAGTTGACCATTAAGGATAATCGTTAGAACTCTTTGGGGAGGCCGTCAGAACTCTTAAGAAATTGTCGGACTTCTGAAAAAATTTTTCAGCTGATATGAACTCGAAAATTTTCAAAAAATTTCTTTTTAATTCCGGCAATTTCTTGAGAGTTCTGATAGCCCCCCAAAGAGTTCTATCAATAACCCTTATGATCAAAATCGCTCAAATAAAAAACAAAAGAGTTATGGCCTTTTAAAGTTACAAAAATGTGAAGTTGATCCTCATGTCTTCAAATGGTGTTTTCATCGCTTTAATCAACAGAACTCTTTCTAAAATCGATAGAGAACTCTAGAACCCTTGGGGGGGGGGGGGGGCAACCGGAACTCTGATTATTTTTTTCAAATTTTAAAAAAGTGGGGCCAATTTCACAGAGGTCCAATCGCGTGCATCTCCGAATCAAATAATATGGAATATCATAATTAAATTGCCAAAGGCAATCTAATAAATCGATGTTCAAAACATTAAGTCCTGTGAAATCCCCCCACCTTCGCGACATCAAATAAATGCTAACTTGCATCTATACGAATCTGTAAAGAATTTATTGCG